CCTCATATGGATGCAAAAGCTGGACAGTGAATAAGGAAGATCATAGAAGAATTGATGCCTTTGAGTTGTGGTGTTGGAGGAGAATACTAAAAGTGCCATGGACTGCCGAAAGAACCAATAGATCTGTTTTGTAAGAAGTGCAGACAGAGTGCTCCCTGAAGGCCAGGATGGCTAAGCTTCGTCTCTCATACTTTGGATATAGTGTCAGGAGGGAACAGTTTTTGGAGAAGGATGTCATGCTGGGTAAGATGGAGGGTGAGAGAAAAAGAGGAAGACCCCCAATGAGATGGATCGGCCAGGTGGCATCATTGATGGTGTCAAGTGTGGCAGCGGTAGTGAAGTTGGCCCAGGATAGGACATTGTTTCATTCTGCTGTGCATGGGGTCTCTATGAGTCTGTTCCGACTCAATGGCACCTGACAACAACAACAACAGCATTCCCTGAATGCCTGTACAACTCACCAGTGAAGCCATCTGGACCTGGACTTCTTTTGTTTGGTAGTTTTTTGATGACCTGTTCAATTTCTTCTATTGTTACGGGTCTGTTCAAGTCTTTTACTTCACACTGTGTGAGTTTAGGTAAGTTGTGTTTTTCTAAAAATGTATCCATATCTTCTAAGTTTTCGAATTTTTGGAGTACAATTCTTCATAGTATTCTGTTATTATCCTTTGGTTCCATTTTGACATCGCCCAAGTGGTTTCTAATGAGTGTTATTTATGTCTTCTCCCTCTTTTCTTTTGCCAATGTTTTGGCAATTTTATTAATCCTTTCAAAGAACCAACTTCCTGTTCTGTTGATGCTTTCTATCATTTTTTTGTTTTCTATCTCATTTATTTCTGCTATAATCTTTATTATTTCTTTTCTTTTGGTGACTGTAGTTTCCCTCTGTTGGTCTGTTTCTAGTTGCTGGAGATGCTGTGTTAATTTTGATTCTTTCTTCTTTTTGGACATGTGCATTTATTGCAATAAACTGTCCTCTTAGCACCGCTTTCCCTGTCCCAAAAGATTTTGGTATGTTGTGTTTTCATTCTCGTTTGTTTCTAGGAACTTCCTGAATTCACGTTTAATTTGTTCTTTATCCAGTCGCTCTTCATCAGGGTGTTATTCAGTTTCCATGTATTAAACTTTTTTTCCCTTGGTCTTCTTATTGTTGATTTCTACTTTTATGGCATTGTGGTCTGAAAAGATGCTTTGTAGTATTTTGATGTTTGTAAATTTATGGAGGCATGCTTTGTGGTCTAACACATGGTCAATTCTGGAGAATGTTCCATGTGCACTGGAAAAGAGTGTGCATTGTGCTGTTGTTGGGTTGAATGCTCTCTCTGTACACATCTATACGGTCAAGTTGGTTGACTGTGCTGTTTAGTTCCTCTGTAGCTTTGTCGACTTTCTTTCTGATTGTTCTATCCCTTTTCAAAAGTAGTGTATTAAAATCCCCCACTATAATTGTAGATTTATCTCTTTCTTTCTTCAATTCTAGTAAGGTTTGCTTTATAAATTTTGGTACTGTTTCATTTGGAGTGTAGATGTTAATTATGGTTATGTCATATTGCTCAATTGACCTTTTAATCATGAGGTAATATCCTTCTTTGCTGGTTTTTTGCCCTAAAGTTTATTTTATCAGAGATTAGTATTGCCACTCATGCTTGTTTTTTATTGCTGTTAGCTTGGTATATTTTTTCCTATCCTTTAACTTCTTGAATGTTTATCTTCTCATCCTTCAAGATGTTAGGAAAATTTTCTTCCAGAAGCTCTTCAACTATCTCTTCTGTGGACTTCTGTGATTCTTCTTGTTCCAAAATGCCAATAATTCTTAAGTTATTCCTCTTCATGTTATCCAGCATGAATCTTAGACTCTCTTCAGATTTCTTATTCCTTTTTTCTGCTTGCTCTTCCATCTTAGCAGTATTGAATGATTTGTCTTCCTGCTCACTGGTTCTGGTTTCCATCTCTTCCATTCTACTCCTTTGCCCTTTCAGTGTATTGTCCATTTCTTATATTTTATTATTAATCATCTGGGTCTCTTTTTGCAGGTTTTGGATTGTTTCCAATGCTGTATCTATCTTGTTTGATGGCTCCTGTAGCACTTTCCTGACTTCTTTATTTTCCTCCACCCCTTTTCGGAGCATTTGAATTTGTTTCCATATCATTCTTCTGAATTCCTTCTCAGGCAGATCCACAGCCTGCTCTTCTGAAAAGTCTGTGTATGATTCCAATTCATTTGCCTCAATTACTTTTTTCTGTTTGGGGACATGTATTGAGATCTTTAATTGAGTTTTCTTGGACATTGTTCTGCCTTTATGTGGGTTTTTAATGCTTAAATGGATGTGTGTTGCTTTGTTGTTAAGCTTGCTGAGCATCTCCTGGTGGATATGATATGGAGATAGACTTCCCTTTTCACATGTAATGCCTGAAAGCTGTTTTTGGCTCTTGTCCAGATGGTGGGGTATTACAGCGTATGCTTGTAGCTTGGCTATATGGGCATAGTTGCTGTTTCTTCTTATGTATGGTAGGGGCAGAAAGCTCCAACCCCAAGGAGAACAGTGAGGCCAAAAGGACCAAAGACAGAAAGCATATAAAAGCAGAGACAGAAACCACCAATCAAAAACAAAAATAAAATTGTGATTGATACTGTCCACTGGCCTTTGCAGTGCAGGCAGGGATAAAGGGTCCCATCCAGGTCAACTTTGGGGCTGGGTTACAAAGTCAAGATGTCATAAGAAGCAGGCTGCGTGTTTCCTCTCTGTGCCATTGAAATCTGTGAGTGCAATGTTGGACCCTTTTGGGGGTGTGCTCCGCCTGAAGGTGTCTGGGCTGGGCAGTGAGGGCACAATTAGAATGGAAAGGAAAGATACATGAAAAATGAAAAGTGAAAGATGAAAAATCGGTCACACCTCTCCCTCCAGATGCAGCTCCGCTGCTCATAGCACTGGGCACTACCTTCACTTGCTGTGGCCCTGCCCTCCGACCTGAGGACTTCTGACTGCCAGCCACCGCTGCTGTATCAATTCATAAATCACCATATTTTGCTTCCACAGGCAGATTTTTTCACAGCTGGGAGCAGGAAATTGGCACCCGGAACCTTATATAAGATTCAATGCTCCTCAGTTGTTCTGCAGACCGCTCTTTCTCTACTTTTTTGGTTTGGGGCAGAGGAGTTTTCAGTATCTGTCTCTGCTTGCCTACCCCCAAACTGGAAGTCCTTTTTGTCTTCTTAATGACATTTTGCTTTCTTCCTGTATGATGTTCTGATATCATCCCACAACTGCTGTGATCTTCAGTCTTCAGTGTTTAATGTTTAATGTATCAAATCAGTTCTTCAGATGATCTCTAAATTCAGGTGGGATATATTCAAAGTCATACTTTGCCTCTTGTGGACTTGTTTTCATTTTCTTCAGCTTCAGTCTGAATTTGATATGAGCAATTGATGGTCTGTTCCACAATCTGCCCCTAACCTTGTTTTGACTAATGATATGGAGCTTTTCCATTGTCTCTTTCTGCAGATGTGTCAATTTGATTTCTATGTATTCTACCTGATGAGGTCCATTTGTATATTCATCTCTTATGTTGTCTAAAGAAGGTATTTGAAATGAACAAATCATTGATTTCACAGAATTTTATCATGTGATTTCCAGCATCATTTCTATCACCAAGGCCATATTTTCCAACTACTGATCCTTCCTCTTTGTTCCCAAACTTTGCATTCCAATCACCAGTAATGTTCAATGCATC